GCCTTCACCTGCCCCCACCAGCAATCCCTTTCTAAAACCAGGATGTCACTGCGAGTCTCCAGTCCCTTCTTGCCCTTTTCACACCGCCGCCACCACCTGCCATGAACCACCATTGGCAAGATCAGCAGCAACGGCAGCAGATATGTTCTATGCTTATGATAACATTTTATCCTCTTGTGAAATATGCTGTTTTAAATGTGCATTTTATGTTTGACTTCCTTTATTAATGTTTGCTTTTGAGACCTTTGCGATTTCTTTTGGTTAACTTTGCTGTGCTCAATGTGAACCTGCAGTTGACCTGCTTTGTAATGTTTTCTTTTGAAATCTGATAGATAACACTTTAGTTTCCTGTTGCTTTGAATGTATCATTTATATTTGATTTCCTTCAGTACTGTTTTATTCTGGCTTGTTTTAATGTGTTGTAAACCGCTTTGAGATTTTTTTCTTAGAAATATAAAGCGGTATAGAAATGAAATGAATAATAATAATAAATAATCATAACTGAACCATTGCTGCGATTGCATCTTTTGCAGGATGGTGGTGTCACTGATTAAGTGTAGGTGTCACTCCCCTTAACTCAGCACATAAGAATCTCATGATTCCAGCAGATGTTTCCGCTTCTTCGCCAAATGTGAAGTTTATGGACCAGCAATGGGAAAGTCCAGAAAGCTGTCACTCAGCATGTCACCTGGGGAGCTTCTCTTGCTTCATAAAATCACTTCATAAACATGCATTCCTCTTTCATACTGGATGAAGAACTCCCTTCTCCCAAACTCTTAAAATGTAGAGCTTCATTAAAAATCAAACAGACAACGGAGACTCTCATTGTGTGTCAAAGACTCGCAAAGTTATTGTGGCATTAACTTTCAGTGACTAAAGTCCATTCCATCAAATGCATGAAGTGTTATCCTGAGTTATGGACATAGTTATATATGTTGGGGGAGGAGGGGATTGTAAACAGCGAGGTGAGAAGGAAATGAAACAAGTAAAAGTACAGATTGTGGTAATTACATTATAAACAATGGCCGTTAACAAGCAAAACCCCACACACATTTGTTGATTGTGAATGCATGTAGAGTAACAAAATCCATTGTCCCAATTCAGTCTACAAGTGATAGTATGGAACTTGTGGTTTCATGTTGCGGTCTCCCTTTGTAGTTCATTTGCTCTAGTATGGCCACCTTAAGATTTGGTACAAAGCATCCTGGGTAGCTGAAATCTCCCCCCATTTGTTTTTGGATGGTGCCATTTCTAATATCAGATTTGTGCCCATTATTTTGTTATGTATAATTTGTCCTGTTTGTCCTGTGTAGAACGAACAAGGTCGTTGTTAGACAATGATAGCACATAACACAGTGAAAGAGGCCCTGATGTTATGGCTGGACTAATTAGATCCTTTGATAGCAGTGGCAGAGTAGACATGGAGACAGAGCTGGCTTTGGTCTGCTGCAGAGATTAGTGTCTCTGTCCATGTCTCTGTTATGTGGCTTTTTGTTGATGGGGAGTAATGACAGCCTGAAGTTGTGATGGCCAGCTTTACAAGAGGATTAGAACAAGGCTATCAATGGCTGCTTACCATGACTGATATGTACAGTCTCCATGGATGAAGGCCGTAATGCTTCCAGTGGCTGGAACCCGCAGGAGAGAAGACTGCTCTTGTGCTCAGGTCCTCCTCGCAGATTTCCCAAAAGCATCTGGTTCATCACTGTGTGAGAACAGGATGTTGGAATAGATGGGCCACTGGCCTGATCCAGCCAGCTCCTCTTATGTTTTTATATTATATTATGAGCAAAGCTATGAGACAATTAGGGACGTGGGTGGCCCTGTGGTCTAAACCACTGAGCTTCTTGGGCTTGCCGATCAGAAGGTCGGCAGTTCGAATCCCCACAATGGAGTGAGCTCCCGCTGCTCGGTCCCAGCTCCTGCCAACCTAGCAGTTTGAAAGCACGCCAAAAGTGCAAGTAGATAAATAGGTACTGCTCCAGTGGGAAGGTAAACGGCGTTTCCGTGCACTGCTCTGGTTTAGGTGTTCCGTTGCACCAGAAGCGGGTTAGTCATGCTGGCCACATGACCTAGAAAAACTGTCTGCAGACAAACGCCGGCTCCCTCGGCCTGTAAGGCGAGATGAGCATCACAACACCAGAGTTGTCTGCAACTGGACTTAACTGTCAGGGGTCCTTTACCTTTTTATGGGACAATTAGAGTAAAGCACCTTAAGGAAATGTTTGATAACTATTGAGAAAATTTGGACATGCAAGTCATGCAGCCAAATCAGACAGGGAAAAAATGTACTGGCAATTTATTAGAGTATGACCAAGGGGCTTTGACAGAGGTCATAAACAGAAACTCTGGTCTCATAATATATTTTTAAATACAGTGGTGCCCCGCAAGACGAATGCCTCGCAAGACGGAAAACCCGCTAGACAAAAGGGTTTTCCGTTTTTGAGTTGCTTCGCAGGACAAATTTCCCTATGGGCTTGCTTCGCAAGACGAAAATGTCTTGCGAGTCTTGAGATTTTTTTTCACTTCCCCCCCCCTTTTTCTAAGCCGCTAAGCCGCTAATAGCCTTTTAGCAGCTAAGCTGCTAAGCCGCTAAGCCTTTAATAGCCGCTAAACCGCTAATAGTGCTAATCCGCTAAGCCGCCAATAGGGTTGCTTCGCAAGACGAAAAAACCGCTAGCCGAAGACACCCGCGGAACGGATTAATTTCGTCTTGCGAGGCACCACTGTAATTGGTTACTGCTTAGTGCACTTGCTGAGTAACTTCCCCAAATTTTATCAGTCTACTGCTGTGGAGTAACCCATGACTCTCCAGATGTTGGTGGACTGTATCCCATCAGCACTAGCCAGCATGACCAATGGTGAGGGATAATGGTAGGGCCTCCAACAGCATCTGGAGGAGCACAAGTTCCCCATGTCTGCTTTAGTAAGCTGCCTGGGACTTGCTTCTACGCAAACAAGAATAGCATTGCGCCGTAAGTGTGACTTGTTTTTTTTTTAAAAGGGAGGCTATTTTTATAAAGCTTGCTTTATGAAACAGATTTTCCACTAGAAGCCCCCTTCAAGTCAGGCCTAAAGGTCTGAAAATTATCTGGGTGGAAATGAGCCTCTTTATAACCTTTTTAAAGTGAAAAGATCTAATGGCAGAAAACATCAAACTTTTGGTCAAATAAGAAAAATAAACTTCTTTTGAGGCAAGCCTCTTTCCCATAAACTGAAACCTCTATAAGAAGCGTCTGCCAAAAAAACAGACCGTTTTCCTGGAATGTGGGGAATGGAAAGTCAGCAGCTTGCTTTGAATATGTTCAACCAACATCCACTGCCACAGTTGACATCCTAGCTGACCCGGAGAGCAACTTTTTGATTCCCGTTGCTCCCCCCCCCACATCTTGGTATATTCTTTGAGGACTGTATACATTAAAAAGGAAGCTGGCCAGCAATAAAGCTACTAATGGACCTCGATGTGCTGGCCAGAGCTTCTTTTGCCATAAAATAATCATATATATTAAGACCACGCTTATCTGGACCTCCCATAACTAGACCTTTCTCTGTACTAGGCAGACTTCCCAGTATTAACTATATCCTATATACTTTATGCCTCTCTGCCTCCACAAATTTCGGATATCCGCTACTGTGGATACATTTCACGTCCCCCAGGATGTCCGGATCTTATGGGCTCTCCTCTATAACAAATGCCTTCTCAGTGAGCAGAAAGACTTTGAACGATGCTGAGGAATGCTACTTTGACTAGAATATCCTCTTTGCCTGCTAACATTGTAAATCTGTAATTGGCAATAAAAGGCAGACCACACTCTCTCTATTTCACTAATATTTACTTAAACCTTACCATAAAGTGTACATAGCTGTTTCTCTAGACTCCAGCAAGACAGAACCTCTTAGCCAAGGGTAAAGAAAAAGAAAAAAAAAAAAAGATCGAGAGAGAGTGTTTTATAACACTGTTCTGTAATTTTTAAAATAAATTTTCTGGAGAGTAAAAATATAAGGCACAATCCAGGCACCATTAAGCACTTCTAAGCCCATTTGATTTCAGTGGGAGAGTTAAGCACATGTTTTATCTTTCCAGTTGGAATCAAAACTTGGGCTGAATCATGCCTGGAGTATTTTAATTTTTACTGAAACTTCCCGTGTTCATTAGTTTCAGGCATGCTATCCAGTCCAAGAAGGTTGACCTTCTTATGGAATGGATGAAGTAGAGCACACTTCCCAACCTGGTGCCCTCCAGATGTTGTGGAACTGCAGTTCCCATCATCAATGACCATTGGCCATGCTGGCTGGAGCAGATCAAAGCTGTAGTCTAAAACATCTGGAAAGCACCATGCTAGGGGCAGCTGAAGTACAGCCCAAACAGGCAACTGGAGATATTCAGCTACTTTCTCCCCTTTCAGATGTAATGGTTCTAGCTTGCTAAGTTATGGCTTAGCAAGCTGGGAATGACTGTCAGATCCACATGCTCTTCCTCTTCTCCTCCCCAAACACGCTGCCTTTGATGCTGTGATACTGGTCAGTTGGAACCAGAGAATCAGTATTACACCTGAACGGAGCATTCTCGTTTAATGTCACTTGAACCAGGAACAGAGATATATCTCCCTACTTATATCTGTTACCTGATGTTATGTGTGGGGTGAAGGTATCCATGCTTAACGGTAATAGCTTCATAAAAACAAAGAATGACTCTCTGAGCTCCTCAGAGACATGGTCTCATACATTGCTATTCTGACATTTTCTTTAGCCTCATCTCTCAGCATCAATTCACCATATATCAGTGGTTTTCAACCAGTGTGCCATGGCACCCTGGGGTGCCTTGAATGATGGTCAGGGGTGCTGCGGGCAACACTGGCCTCTGTCCCTCTTCCCTCCCCTCCCTCCTCTGATGCCCTCTCGCGTCTCTGCCTCCCAAAGGCTTGCACAGCTGTTACTCTGCTGGTTTCTCACAGTTACTTCCTTTTTCCACAATTTTTGAGATGGGTGTATGCAACATCAGCTGGATAGCTCAGTGGGTTAGAGTGTGGTGCTGATAATGCCAAGGTTGCAGGTTTGAGTCCTTTAAGGGCCAGCTGCATATTCCTGCAAGGGGTTGTACTAGAGCAGGCATAGGCAAACTCCGGCCCTCCAGATGTTTGGGACTACAACTCCCATCATCCCTGACCACTGGTCCTGTTAGCTAGGGATGATGGGAGTTGTAGTCCCAAACATCTGGAGGGCCGGAGTTTGCCTATGCCTGTATTAGATGATCCTCAGGGTCCCTTCCATCTTTGTGATTCTTCTCTTCTCTTCTCTTCTCTTCTCTTCTCTTCTCTTCTCTTCTCTTCTCACTAGAACTCCCTCATAGCTTCAACTGACAGAGAGCTGCCATTTTATAGTCCTGGAAGACCCATCCCAAGGAACATTCTGAGGAAAACATCATTACAAATGAATTGCAGCCATTACAAAAGGAAGAAGAATGAAAGTGGTTGGCCCCTGGGCCACCAGGGGGCGCATTGGAAGATGGCCGACAATAACATCTCTCCGACCCACACGAGGTAATTAAGAGGCTGATATGGGAGTATGCAGCCTCCCTTGCCCCCCCCAAGGGAATGGGGGGGACTGCCTTGCCAGCTGTGTCCATAATTCACCCCCGGATTCGAAAGAAGGGGGTGTCCGGGCACTTGGCATGAAGCCCTCGGGTGAGGTCGGCTCTCCCTGACGCTGTCTCTAATCGCGCACTGGTTCACATTAGCTCGAAATATATAATTGGAAATATATAATTGGAAAGAAGCTAATGCACATACATCAAGTGAAGATCGGGAGTAAAGACTGCTGATTAATGGGATCTCTGTGATCGGAGCGACGGGCTGGACAATAAATCAAGTGGAGAATCATCATTAAAAGATTGGTATGTTGGAGTGAAACGGAAGAAAAAACTTTTCTTTTTTTGTCTTATGTGAGTACCAATAACCCTCCCCTCCAGAGAGAAGAATCGTTGCAAATTACTAATCACAAGCAGGAGATCAAGAACTGTGTGATCAAAGGGAGGACTGGAGGAAACATCGGGGAATGGAAAGAAAGTTTTATGACGCAGTTACAAATGGAGTTTCGTTAAGACAGGCTTGCCCACAGGAGGACGAAGGGGAGGAGGACCAGGGTCATCGGAATGTGAATGTATGGTTATCGGAATGTGATCTTGACCTGGCAGGGCCCCCTGAGATATAGATTGGCAAGCCTGTGGAAATCAACGGACAGACTGTGGGAATGCTTTTTACGGAGGTGTGGAAATGGCGTCTGTCCTTTATGTGATATTACTCTTGGAGAGTGTAAAACCCACACAGGAGATGTTTGTTTTCAACCCACTTGTGAAGATTATCAGAGATCACAAAGAAAGGAATATATGATAACAACAAGAGCTAATTCTAGTGGTTAGGATTCGGCGCTCTCACCGCCGCGGCCCGGGTTCGTTTCCTGGTCAGGGAAGACTTCTTTGTTTCCTGCTTGGCAGGGGGTTGGACTCGATGGCCCTTGTGGTCTCTTCCAGCTCTATGATTCTATGATTCTAAGAAGATGAGGAAAATAACAAAGAGACTATCTGGACAGAACTAGATAGAACTGTTTAATTAAAGCAGCAGCAAGAGTGATGTTTGGATCCCTTTCGGAGCTTGAAGTATGGGTACCCCCAACACAATTTTAAAAATCTGGCTGTATAATTTGGAACTAATGTGATTTGGAATTAATGTGATTTGATTGGCCTGTTAATAAAAATTATATTAAAAAAAAGAAAGTAAGTGGTTGGCCCCACTTCAGCCCTCCATTTTCTGTTGTGGCTACCATCTTCTCCTCAGGATGATGATGATGATGTTTAATTATTATTATTATTAATTACATTTGTATACCACCCTTTATCCTCAGCATTCGGGGACAGGAGGGTAGGGGGTTTTTAAGAGGGGGAAAAAAACCTCTGGCTACTGTTAGGCAATGAGAGTTGAGAGGAAGCTCTGGTGAGCTTGTTGGTGAATCCCAAGATCTGGAAGAGTGGAGGCAGCTTCACTACTTCTCCTCCTCTTCTTACCCCAAATGCGAGCAGAGCATTTGACAGTTTGAACATTTGGCCCGGCTTTAAGTGGGATCCAGTGGAAGCTTTTCTTTTTAACTTTTGAAAGAGCTGAGGCAGATTCTCCCCCTCCCTGCAAGCTAATAAAGAATCCAGATGGACAAAAGTGTGCAAAATAATTGAAGAAATGTCTCGAGGCTTGATGTATTTTGTGATTTTGTACATATTTTTCAAAAAGCCAGTTGGTTGTTCATAATAAGTTATTATAACTAATGGTATATTTAATAAGAGTTGCTAGCCTTGAAAGATTTCTGGACCTTACCAGATGATGGCTGGCAGACCCAGCAGGAAGCTTCAGCCCTACAGAGAAATATGGAAGACTTTTGAGGGTCTGCCTGTGACAACATCTGGATACTATAGCTGTGCCTGATGGGATGGGCAGGAATATTATGGTTTGCATCTTTCAAAATATACCATTGATTCTAGAAATTTGAACAACTGGAAGTGTCACATGGGTCTTGATCAGATACTCTTGCATCAAACATACATTGACATTTCTTTCCCCCCATGAACTTCAGAACATAATAACCAACGGCTGAGTCATATATATACACACACACACATCATCCAGCTGTCTCCTTTGAGCTTTTGGTTGAGCTGCTAAAGCGAAAGAGTCGGGCTGCGAACACCCCATACCTTGGAAGCACATTCAAAACATGTTGTTTCCCTCAAAGAATTCTATACTCACAGAGTTACAATTCCCAGCAACCCTTAACAAACCACACTGCCCATAATTCTCTGAGGGAAAGAATGTGCTTTGGATGTGCTTTAAAGGTATAGTGGGTCCACAGCCTAAGTCTCAGAATATTGACAAGCAATGAAGATATCTTGAGTTAAGGGGAAGAATGGCAGAATTAGCTCTTTGGGATGGAAAACAGGGCAGTGAAGTAGGCAAGCTCATTGGGAGCTTTCGAAGTGATCTCCTAAAATAGACCAGTGAAGACACAGGCTGCATACACATGACCTTTTATTCTAGAATCAGTGGAGGCTGAGAACTTTTTTCTCCTATGCAGTTCACACACAATATAGATCTATGGTCCTAGCAATGTGTGTGTGTGTGTGTGTGTGTGTGTGTGTGTGTGTATGCTCAATGGCGTTGTGGCTGGGCCTATGTCAAGCTCACAATTCCCACTCCCTTCTTTGTTTACCTGGGGGCACAAGTGAGGAGGAAAAGGCACAGATAACCTAACCTGGGGGAAGGTTTTCAAATGTTTATCAAGCGACCCCACCCACCCTTGTGGATGGCAGGATCTAGAATCAATCTAGATTGAAGCTAGCATGTTGAGGGCAAGCGTGATTGACTCTGGATTGAGAAAAAAACTACATTTTTTGTATTACAAATGGGTTAGTGTGAAGGTTTTTGCTTTGCACAGAGATGACAAAGATAATGCCAAATCTTTCATAGGTTTAAAGGTTATGGGATTATAAACATGCTTTAAATTGAGAAAGGTTACAGGAGACATCTAGAACAATGTTGGCCATCCACCAATCCTGTTTGTGTATTGGTACTAATAATGACAGCTGTGCTGTCTCCTGCCCTGAATCTTCATCATCATTGGGTTAGAAATAAAAACAACTAATCATGCCACTAGACACATGGCAGTCTATGTGTATACACCTCGTGTAAAGGGTAAGGAATCTGTAGCCTTCCCACTGTGGTTAGAATATAACTCCCAGCACCCACGAGACTCTTGGGACTCAGCTATACAGCTGCAAATGTGTTTTAAATGTGTTTTTAGTGCATTATACAAATGTGACACTAGGTGGTGAAGGTGAGTTTAACGGCAAATTCAATATGTTTTTTAAAGTTTTTTTTTTTTTTAAAAAAAACATTTTCAAGTGTTTTTCTTACATGTCTAGATTCCACCTTAAACTCAGGCTTGAGGGCTTGAGCCCCACTCTGGGCAAAAGATTCCTGCATTGCAGACAGTTGGACTAGATCAGTGTTTCCCAGCCTTGGGTCTCCAGCTGTTTTTGGACTACAGTTCCCATCATCCCTGACCGCTGTTCTTGCTAGCTAGGGATGATGGGAGTTGTATTCCAAAAACAGCTGAAGACCCAACGTTGGGAAACACTGGACTAGATGACCCCCAGGTTCCCTTCCAACTCTATGAAAAACACAGAGGCAATCTATGCCTGAGCATTGGCCATGCTGGCAGGAGCTGGTGGAAATCTTCCACTCCTGCTTTATGCTAGAATGCTCTATAGGACTACAGGTTTGTTTTGTTAATCTGTTTAAAATCAGTTAACTTCTGTTTGAAAACAGTTCATGATGCTTGGGGACTTGTCAAGCAAATGCTACGATTCGTCTGATCAACACTGCGTTGTCTCAATTAATGAAGAAACAGTCTAAACTGCTCTTTCAACAATCTCTTAATGCTTATTGGGTTTTTTTGGGTGCGGAGACACTTGGAGTTTATGAAATGGAGCCTGCACCACCGAGCTAAGTGGTCTGCTATACAGTAGCTTTATTGTACTGTGAAGCGATGCTTAATTCGCAAGCGACAAATGTCTCTGACATTTCTATAAACACATTACCTTTTAAGCAGTCCAGAAGCTAGGCATGTCCTTCGCCTGCTTTTTTTTTTAAAAAAAATGCAACTTTTGTGGGCTTTGTAAAGAAATTGAATTTTCCAATAGGCATTTCTACGTTGAACTGCTCTTAAACCCTAAACATGTTTAGTGGTCAAGATCATTACGTGAAGAGTTCAATGGAGCCTTTTGGGTGTACAGCTTGGAAGCTGCAAATTGACTCAAGCAGCTGTTTACCTGGTTTCAAAGAAGCATAATCCAGTTCACAGCAAGTCAGGGCACAATTGCCCCATGATGTTATATGCACACAAGGTTGGGGGTTAGGAAATTCAGAGTAAAAGCTTCCCTGAAACATCCAGGCTGATTGCAAATTGAGCCCAAACCATCATGAAATTCAGGCTCGGCTTGCAATTAGCTCATTCCTAGCCCCAGCAGCAGCCTACTCATTTGCCCAAGATGTTACTCTTCTTTCCTACTGAAAATTTACCTCATGGCAGAAATAATGATGGAGAAGGGCTGCTGACTTCTGTGATTTCCTCAGGTAGACTGTGACATGAGTTTAGTCCTCCAGGACTTCTGTATCCCTCATAAGGACTGCACAGCTCTGTATAATTCCTTGGAATTTTGGTACCCAATATGCTTCTGAGAAGCTTACTCAGCAGGTTCCTTTGAAAGTTACAATTCCATGGGCTATCAGGGCCTTTTCCCTGGAAAAGACCCTGATGTTGGGAAAGCACAAGAAGGGGACGACAGAGGACGAGATGGTTGGACAGTGTTCTTGAAGCTACCAGCATGAGTTTGACCAAACTGAGGGAGGCAGTGGAAGACAGAAGTGCCTGGCGTGCTCTGGTCCATGGGGTCACGAAGAGTCGGACACGACTAAACGACTAAACAACAACAAATCAGGGCCTAAAATGCTGTTGCCACACCAAGGGCCTAATCAAGCTGCTTTTCTCATCTGTACCTGTAACTACTGACAGGTAAGAAAAGTGGAAAGGGCAAGATAGATTTGGGAGGAGGAGTTCAATCTGGACAGCCCTCCAGGCTTAGCTGTGCTCCCCTGTGTGGACAGAGGTCTTCAGACCTCATTGCTTTCCTGGTGACAACATCATTATCATGATCAGTCCTGGAGTTCAGGATGAGCCAAAGGATAAAAATGAGCTAATCTGGATCTTTTGAATTATGGTTGCTTTTGAATTATGGTGCTGGAGGAGACTCTTGAGATTCCCATGGACTGCAAGAAGATCAAACCTAACCATTCTTAAGGAAATCAGCCCTGAGTGCTCACTGGAAGGACAGATCCTGAAGCTGAGGCTCCAATACTTTGGCCACCTCATGAGAAGAGAAGACTCCCTGGAAAAGAACCTGATGTTGGGAAAAATTCAGGGCACAAGGAGAAGGGGACGACAGAGGATGAGATGGTTGGACAGTGTTCTCGAAGCTACCAGCATGAGTTTGACCAAACTGAGGGAGGCAGTGGAAGATAGGAGTGCCTGGCGTGCTCTGTTCCATGGGGTCGCGAAGAGTCAGACACGACTAAACGACTAAACAACAACATCTATGCCATTCCACATTCTCAAACAGCAAATGCATATTTAACAACACACGTTCATATAATGTGTGTGCATAGGGAAGGTGGGGGGAGGATGATGGCCAATTTTGATTCCTTGGCATGTTCACTTGGATAATGCACATGATGGCAACATACATATGTTTTCAGCGGTACTTATAAAAAGTTTTGCATGCTCATGTTAAAGACTTGCACATCTTGGGCTGGTGGAAGAAGAATGATGCCTGCCATGTTTGATTCCTCCTCCTCAATATAGTGTGTGCATTTG